TCAGGTGGTCGTGGTGTTGGGATGTGTCAGGTGGTCGTGGTGTTGGGATGTGTCAGGTGGTCGTGGTGCTGGACTGTCGGGTGGTCGTGGTGTTGGGATGTGTCAGGTGGTCGTGGTGTTGGGCTGTCGGGTGGTCGTGGTGTTGGGCTGTCGGGTGGTCGTGGTGTTGGGCTGTCGGGTGGTCGTGGTGTTGGACTGTCGGGTGGCCGTGGTGTTGGACTGTTAGGTGGTCGTGGTGTTGGACTGCCAGGTGGTCGTGGTGTTGGACTGTTAGGTGGTCGTGGTGTTGGACTGCCGGGTGGCCGTGGTGTTGGACTGTCGGGTGGCCGTGGTGTTGGACTGTCAGGTGGCCGTGGTGCTGGACTGTCGGGTGATCGTGGTGTTGGACTGCCGGGTGGCCGTGGTGTTGGACTGCCGGGTGGTCGTGGTGCTGGACTGTCAGGTGGTCGTGGTGTTGGACTGCCGGGTGGTCGTGGTGTTGGACTGCCGGGTGGCCGTGGTGTTGGACTGTCGGGTGGCCGTGGTGTTGGACTGTCGGGTGGCCGTGGTGTTGGACTGTCGGGTGATCGTGGTGTTGGACTGCCGGGTGGCCGTGGTGTTGGACTGCCGGGTGGTCGTGGTGTTGGACTGCCGGGTGGCCGTGGTGTTGGACTGTCGGGTGGCCGTGGTGTTGGACTGTCGGGTGGCCGTGGTGTTGGACTGTCGGGTGGCCGTGGTGTTGGACTGTCAGGTGGCCGTGGTGCTGGACTGTCAGGTGGCCGTGGTGTTGGACTGTCAGGTGGCCGTGGTGCTGGACTGTCGGGTGATCGTGGTGTTGGACTACCGGGTGGTCGTGGTGTTGGACTGTCGGGTGGTGTTGGGTTGCCAGGTGGTCGTGGTGTTGGACTGTCGGGTGGTCGTGGTGTTGGACTGTCGGGTGGTCGTGGTGTTGGACTGTCGGGTGGTCGTGGTGTTGGACTGTCGGGTGGTCGTGGTGTTGGACTGTCGGGTGGTCGTGGTGTTGGGTTGCCAGGTGGTCGTGGTGTTGGACTTGTCAGGTGGCCGTGGTGTTGGGTTGCCGGGTGGCCGTGGTGTTGGACTGTCGGGTGGTCGTGGTGTTGGACTATCGGGTGGTCGTGGTGTTGGACTGTCGGGTGGTCGTGGTGTTGGACTGTCGGGTGGTCGTGGTGTTGGGTTGCCGGGTGGTCGTGGTGTTGGGTTGCCAGGTGGTCGTGGTGTTGGACTTGTCAGGTGGCCGTGGTGTTGGGTTGCCGGGTGGCCGTGGTGTTGGACTGTCGGGTGGTCGTGGTGTTGGACTGTCGGGTGGTGTTGGACTGTCGGGTGGTCGTGGTGTTGGACTGTTGGGTTGCCGGGTGGTCGTGGTGTTGGGTTGCCAGGTGGTCGTGGTGTTGGGTTGCCAGGTGGTCGTGGTGTTGGACTGTCAGGTGGTCGTGGTGTTGGACTGTCGGGTGGCCGTGATGTTGGGTTGCCGGGTGGTCGTGGTGTTGGACTGTCGGGTGGCCGTGGTGTTGGGATGTCAGGTGGCCGTGGTGTTGGACTGCCGGGTGGTCGTGGTGTTGGGATGTGTCAGGTGGTCGTGGTGCTGGACTGTCGGGTGGCCGTGGTGTTGGGTTGCCGGGTGGCCGTGGTGTTGGACTGTCGGGTGGCCGTGGTGTTGGACTGCCGGGTGGCCACTAGAGCAGTGTTCCTTACTACTTTTCAGACGGGGTGAGGGGGGCACTTTCGCCGATGACGCCTCATCAGCGTGAGGACCACCACACCATTTGAAACCACTGGGGGTTTGACGGCAGCACGATGACGATGATGGGGGAGGGGGGCGTTTTCACTCTTGTGTGTATTGTCGGGGGGGGGGCGCACTAAAGCCCCCCTAGAGGCAGCTAGTGGCCCACGGGCCTTGCAATGAAGAACACTGCCCTAGACGGCTTGGAGCAAGAGGCTGTGTGGGGGGGAGCGGTAGTGCTGCCTTTAGTGCGCTGCGCTATGAACCCGGTCGACCCGAGTTCGATTTTCGCTCGCGGCCAACACCGGTGATGCATTATCTGAACCGCTTCCTGCCCCCCCCCCCCCCGCTAGGTCGACTCTGCCTGGTGCGGTAGGTAAACATCGCTGCTAGGGAGACAAAGGCGGCCGGGTGTGGTGCTGCTCAAAATACTCTGTTAGGGGCCGTCCATAAATGACGTCACGCGATTTTTGACGATGTTGTACACCCCCCCTTGTCACAAGGCATCACAAAGTCAGACCCCCCTCAAATATGACGTCACAACTCTGCCCCACCCCCCAAAAGAAATAAAACATGCTTCAAATCGCTTTAAACTATTGTCATTGTAGTGCGCATTTAATGTGCTGCTGCACTCTGTAGTAGGAGAAAACATTTATTAAAAAGTTAATTTAAATAAGTAGAACGTGTTTTTTATATTTATTTAAAGTTGCGCATTTTGACCGGACGTCACATTTCTCAAACACCCCCCCCCCCCTCGTCACCAAATGTCTGACCCCCCCCCCCTAGGTGCGTGACGTCATTTATGAACGGCCCCTTAAGGACGTATATAGGGTGATCTTTGTCTCGCGGAAGCTGCGGCTATCTTCTATCGGTACTGTGGTCGTAAGACTCCGTGAGACTTGTCTGGGTAAACAAAGCGTGCCATATAATAGTCCTTGTAAAGTAGGGGGCGCCAGCAGTAATGTGGTGGGGTACCACAGTGCGGGTAGTCCCACTTAGTACAACGCGTCTGACCATCGTGGAGAAGTTGGGCAACAAAAAATGTACCCGTAAAACAAAGTTTTTCACTATAAATCCTTTATATGCGTGGCGGCTAGAGTCATCTCGTCCTCTGGCTTGAGATGGCTGCCACCTATGGGTCAGATGATTGCCTGCCACCATTAAGCAATTGGTAATTAAATATATTTTCCCTAAAAAGTGTAAAGTTATGGAAAATACATTTCACGAAAATTAATTGTCGCGCACAACGAGTCTGTGTGCAAAATGTCAGCTCGATTGGATCACGGGAAGTGGGTTAAAAAACGACCGAAAGATTTGCACGGTCGTAAGCGAGCAAGCGAACTTAATATAAAGGATTAAAAAAAATGCCTCCACTGAAACTCGCTGTAGCGGAGTCTCTACCGCAAGCAGTATCGCGAGCAGGCAATTGCAGGGCTGCACCTTTTATAAAAACGGAGGAGTCGAAAACAAACATCATCTCGCGGGCGGCTTTGTAAAAGCAATAAAGCCTGCACCTGGCGCATTACTGTAAATAGTTGGCGGTGAGACGCAGACTCGCTGGCAGTAATCGACTCCAGGTATTATTACATTTGCGTCGTCGAATAGGAATTTGTCTTGGCGCGCGGCTGTTTTTAGTGCGGAGCAAATTGTGCAAACGCATCTCTCGCAGGTCTGCTCCGCTGCAGGCGACTTCTTAAACCCGTGACACAATTTTAATTCTGACAAACCAAACAAGCCGGCTACGTTGGAACGAAAACTGCATTTTAGCGACTTAACGGGCGTTGGGATGAATTTCATCCAGCAGCGGATTAACAACGTTTCTTGTCGTCTGTACATCCACATCGAGTGGCTCGTACAACCCGAAACTTTTAATGCTACCACGCCCTCTAGTGGCTTGAAAGTGAAAATATTGTTTAACTTATAACATTTATTTGTTGCAAAGGTGTTTTTATCACCATTTGCAAACGTGTGCGTGCCAGGCGATGCGAGGGATTTTAATGAAAGAACAAAGGGAAGAAAACTCTGAGTTTGGGAATTAAACGCGACGCGGGAGAGTGGAGATCTCATCCGGAATCGGGGAGGTTGTGATGGGTGGGACGCGCGTGCGGGATTGGATGATGCCAGGAGGTTATCCCGATGTGTACAGGCAAATGGTTACTTGAGCATATTGACCCTACCAAGCAGAGGAAATTGGAAACCTGTAAGAAGTGTGCAGTGGACAGCCACGGGCTATCTGCTCCATGGATCAGTGATGATGATGGCGATAGTGGCAACCAGGAAGTCTGACCAAAAGCGGGAAGACCTAGAGTCGGATGTTTGTGATGGGTAGGGGGGTGGTGAGACGGTAAGAATGGTCCTTGAAGGACGTGATGGCTGGAGACCTCAAGCCAAGACGGTGGTGGAGGAGGAGACTGCAGGTCAGGCGTCGACTTTGGAACTGGCCGGATCTCACTGAAGGAAGACGCGATGTGTGGTGGCATGATGATTATGATAATTATTTTTCGATTTAAAGCTTTCGTGACTGCAGGGATTCATCTTATTGGTTCTTTCGGTAAAGTCACGTAGAATGGAAATACTAAAATAATAAAACATAATAAAATTATTCTCACGACGTTTCAGCCACAACGCAAGCAGCCGTCCTCGGGTGAAGAACAGGTCTGTCGATAAGACAGGTCTGAATGACACGTGACTTTACCGAAAGAACCAAGAAGATGATAATTATTATTCGCATTTCTTCTTGACACGACAATCGGGCGGCTCGTGCCGACGAGCCGATGTGGAAACAGGAGGAAGGGGAGTTCCTGGCCAGAGCTTTTGTGTGTTGACCTGCAGAGGCAATTGAGTGCTGGTGTTTTTATGATCTTTTATCGGCCAGCACCACCCTGAGCGTTGTTTATCGACTGAGCAAATGCATACAACTTAATTTGGCACGTTTCCAGCTCCTGAGAAGTTAAAATGATACCGTTGTTTTGACTGCCGTGCGTCAGATTGTTCTCTGAACTGGGCGTGTGGAAAGGTGCGTCCCTAGTGGTGTGTGTGTGTGTAATATACAATAAATTAAATACTAGCATACGACGTTTCGATTGCAACACAAACAATCATCATCAGGTATAAATGAAATAGAAACACAGATATAGTATACTTAGAAATGTAATGCAATACAACAGTCGGATAACATAACAGTCAACACCCTACCTGGTTGATTACGTTCTTCCTGAGAATGCTAAATTTAGGAAGAACGTAATCAACCAGGTAGGGTGTTGACTTTGTTATCCGACTCTCTGTTGTATTACATTACATTTCTAAGTCTACTAGATTTGTGTTTCTATTTCATTTATACCTGATGACGATTGCTTGTGTTGCAATCGAAACGTCGTATGCTAGTATTTAATTTATTCTTTTCTCTTTATACGTGACTTTACCGAAAGAACCAAAGAGTAATTCCTGCAGTCACGAAAGCTCCAAATTAAGTATATATACAATGTCATTTGAAAGGCTCTCCAGAAGTAGTTTTGTGATATTACCTTATACGAGCCGTTCTCTCCTTAACAGGGTGCAAAGTACTTCTCACTGCAAGGCTTTCGAATTTTTATCTCGTGGAATGACGCCGATGACCCAATAGGAATACAAACGGGGACAATTACATAACTCATGCCAATCACTCTCAAACTCCACGTGGTGGGGGAATCATTATCTGTCGTGACAAGTCATGGCCGCACGTGGCATTAAAATAAAGAGCTGCGTCTTCGGCAATGCACTGTGAGCCTGGTGACGCATAACGCACATGACCAGCCTGACGAGCACTGATAGCGACTGTGGGATAAATGTTAAAGGGTGCATAACACCCATGCAGAGAATTATCCTTACAGAAATATTACCCGTGCGTTGAGAATTTTTCGGATGAATGCGGCGTTTTCTGAAGCCGTTTTGTTACATCCAACTCTCGATGTACATTCACTGGGGGGGGGGGGGTGTATGTGGAAGTCTGAAAATTCACTCGTATTCATGATTCATCTGTGGGTTTTTTTTTAACCATCCACAGTACCCTATACAGTACATTTGAAAATATTGTTTTTAAATAACACTTTACAAAAAACCTCCCACAACACGCCGCCTCTCCGTGTGTGCGTGCGCCTGTGCTTGACAATCTTGTGGAATGGTGGCACATGCTGCCTACGAGGGGACGATCAGCCAACATAAGTCTCGAGGCGGCTGCACATTTTTCTCCGCACAGCAAAGACCTCGTCGGAGACGCGTTGCTGTCAAAAGTGTCGCCTCTAGCCGAGCAAATAGAATCTTCACAAGATGCATTTGTTGGCGCCACTCGGGTCTCCTTCAGCTGCTGCTGCGACATCAGAGTGTTAAAAAGTTTAGAGGACTCGCAGGGTTTTAGTTTGACCTATAAACCAAAGTGCGTGACGGTGTGTGGTGCAAGAGGGGTGAGCGCACTGCGCTATGAGCCCGGAGGTTCCTGCGTTCCATTCTCAGTCACGGTTTCAACGTCCGTGGCGAGTGGTCGTTCTTCAACATGCACTGAACAGCGTGATGGCATTAAGGTCAAACTCAAACAACCACCGTGACCGGCATGGCACGGGAAGGCCTGTAACTAACAGGCGGTTGAGAAAGGGGCTGCACACTAATTTAACAAAACTTTAAAATTGTAGACGTCGCTTACAAATGAAAACGGGCACGGTCGCTCGGTCTACTACAGTGCGATGCACCGTGCAGCATTTCACGAGCACTCCTTCTCACGAAGTCAACCCTGGGACGTCTCCCCCGTGGCATACCGTCAACAGTTGTAAAATAACATTTCAAAACAATAGCAATCCCAGCCAGAGAGCGTGGGCCCTCTCGCGCGGTCATAGGGCCACCTTGCCAACCGGCAGGTCTCCCTCTTCCTTGGCCCTCGTCTCTCTCACGCTGGACGACGAGTGGATGATCTGCGTCTTGTGGCGCTTCTTGCTCATCGGCGCCTTGAGCAACTTGGCGAACGACTGCCTTCGCATGAGCTGCATGTCGCGCAGAAAGTTGCCGCCACCACCACCGCCACCGTCCGCCTCGTCGTCCGACCCCGCGCCCCCACCGTGACCGGACGGGATCCTGAGGCTGCCCAGGTAGGGCCGTGGCAGCTTCCTGCGTGCCACCTCCGTCGTCGCGGGCCGCTCCGCTCCGTCGACCACGGGCGCCTCGAGCAGCTCGCGGATCTCCCACGATGCGTCCTGGCACAGGTAGTGCCACGGCTTCCTGCCGCTGTAGTCGCGTGCGTTCACGTTCGCCTCGTAGGCACCCACGAGCATCTTGGCGACGTCGGTGTGCCCGTGCATTGCGGCGAGGTGCAGCGCCGTGTAGCCCCCGTGGGAGCGCACGTTCACGTCGTCCGCCGTTCCGGCCGACGACTCTGCGGCCGCCACCAGGACGGGCACCATGTCGGCCTTGCCGTGCTTGGCCGCCCAGTGGAGCGCCGTGTAGCCCGTGAGAGGGTCACGTCGCAGCGCCAGCGAGGGCTCTCCCAGCAGGAGGCCGTGCAGGTTGCTCCAGTCGCCGCGCGCCGCGCTCACGATCCACTCGTGCTCCACCGGCTCGAGAGCCAGAGGGGCCCCGAAGCTGCTGCCCCCTCCTCCCGCGCCGTCGTCCTCGCTGGTTCGAGCCGAGCCCACGGATTCGGTGTCTGAATCGCCCGCTCCAGTTTTGTCGCCGCCGACAAAGTTGGGGGCGATGAATGGGCTCTTGGGCGAAGACGACGACGACGAGTTGTGCCTCTTCGCTTGGGGCGACCCGGGGACGCGCAGACCCTGCGATAAGTTCTTCGGTGTCGTCTTGAAGGACCCTCTCCCAACTCCTCCCCCGGCGTCAGCTCCGACAGCGGCAGCAGCAGCAACAGAAGCTGTCGCTCCACTCGAGACCTCCTGGCTCGAACTGTCTGGACCGCCTGGCCCCGACTCGCCTCGGCACCCCTCCTCTCCGCTGTCACTCCTCCCGGCCTCCCCCGCGTCCTGGGAGCCGCTGCCCTCGGCCTCTGTGCACGCGGCTGCCTCTGACCTTGACCCTGGGGTCGTCGTCCCCTCGTCCTCGTCCTCCGCAGACGCTGCGGCGTGGCCTTGTGATGACTCGTCCACGGACACTCGGCGTGCCGCCGCCGTCTTGGCCGCGAGGCCGCCCTCCGCAAAGGGACCCCTCCCCCCAGTCGCGTCCACCGCCGGAGAGGGAACAGTGATGCTGATGGCCACCGGAGCAGGAGGAGGAGGCACCACGGTCGCCGCGGAACTCGCCTCACCGCCTCCTCCTGAGCTCGCGTCTCCTCCCGCACCGCCACCGCCGCCACCTCGCTCCTCATCCACGCTCGCGCAGCTCGGCAGGGCTATGATGCGCGTCATCTCGCCTGCCTTGCTCGGGGTCACCGCCTGCTGCTTGGCCGACTGCTCCGAATGTCTCCCCCCGCCTGGCGGTTGCTCCGAGGGCAGGAGGGTCCCATCGGCGCGTTCGTCTCCTCCTCCTCGGTCGGCGGCCTCGGCTGTCCGCGGCCCGTCGACCCCGGCTGTCCGCGGCCCATCGACCCCGGCTGTCTGCGTGCGCAGCAGCAGGTGCTGCTTGTACTTCTTCTTGAGCACCACGTACTTGGCGCCGTCCTCCTGCTTCACGAGACCCACGGCGTTCACGAAGCCCTTGAAGAGCTCGCGAGCACTCGGCTCGCCCAGCGCGCCCCTGAACCGGTGCAGGAGCTCGGTGTTGGCCACGCGGCCTCCGCTCTCCACGAGGAAGTTGAGCACCCCGTCCTGGCTGAACTCTGGCTCGTCGCCCATCGTACGAGGGGACGGCCCATGCGTGAGGTCCGGCGGAGCGCAACGCGCACGCAAAACGCACCCGTCGCCTCCTTGTTATGACTGCGGGCTGCTGGGTCGCGGACGGAATGGCCTTGTAGGTGCCCTCTCACGCGAGTCTCTTCGTCGTCTCGTATGGCGGGGGAGAGGCTGATGAGCAGCGTGCTTGGCGAGAGAGCCCTTGGGCAAGGGAGCAGCAGCAGCAACAACAGCAGCAGCCTTCGTGGTGAAAATCTGCAATGCGTTGCTCGCTGCTCACACTGCTCGCCCAACCGGAGCACAGAAAATCAATCTGCCACAACCCCTTCCTCCTCCTCCTTTCGCGTTTTGAGCGCTGCGGTCGGGTCTGCCAGCTTATCTCTGCTACGCGCACAGCAAACTTGCTCGGGGTTTGTGGGCACGTGCTCACGAGCGGCGAGAGCACGCGGTGTGCGTACGAGCGAGTCCGGGGTACAGCTGACGGCTGGCGAGTGAGAGAGAGGGGGAGGGAGAGCGACAGAGGGAGGGAGAGAGACGCGCTGCGACGGGGAGTTGCGTTTTACGCATAAACGTGCGCGCAAGCCCAACTCGAGGGGGGTGGGTGTCTGGGTGGAGCCCAATGGGGGGAGGGGTGGGGGAGTAGTTGGTGGTGGGGGAGTTTGGGTTGTGGTGGGACTGACTGTTGACTGGGGTTGGTGTTTTTGCCCTCCTCCCCTATGACCACCCCTCCCCTTCCCTTATAATCTCCCCCCACCCTCTACAATATGATCCCCTCCCCTATAACCCCACCCCCTTACCTTATGATCCCCTCCCCTCTACTATGCCCCCCCCCTCCACTATAATCCCTCCTTGCTCGCCGATTCACCCCCCCCCCCATCACTGAGGTTTCCGGAAAAGGAGCGAACCAAGAGGCACACACGCAGAGGGGGGGTCCGGGCCTTTCGGCAATGATTCACGGCGCTGTCACGCAGCATTCTGTGGGTGTGTGGCGTGGCCGTGTTTATTTAAAGGGGACAGGATGTGTAGAACAGAATTTAACATTTTGTGGAGATGCACGGCACGCAACGACGGTGAACTTTAACCGAACGTTTAAACTCGGAGCGGAACGTACGCGCGTGTGTGAACTTCTACTCTTAGGTTTTTTCGGTAAAGTCACGTAGGTAGAATTTTTTTTATATAATAATAATAATAATAAATGAAAAATAACTCTATTAAATCACGACGTTTCGGAGGCAACAAGTCTCCGTCTTCAGGTGGGACCTTCACAGCTGAAGACGGAGACTTGTGTTGCCTCCGAAACGTCGTGATTTAATTTAGTTATTTTTCATTTATTATTATTTTATTATTTTTACCTACATGGTGACTTTACCGAAAAAAACATGAGTGTGAATCCTTGCAGTCACGAAAGCTTCAAATCTAGAAGAGAAAAAAGTGAACTTCTTTCGCACCGTACGTGGTCAAGCGATTCCCAGCCTCTCTCTCTCTCTCTGGGCCGTCGTGCAATCTGCTCTCGCTCTCTCGCGCTCTCACTCCCGCGTGGAGTATTTTGTACCAACATTTTTCCTCTTCACTTTATTAAGAATTTAGAATTTGGGGCTGAGGGCTGTAGGAGTAATGGTAAGGGGGGGGGGGGGAGGCGCTCGCCCCCCACCCCCTTCAGCCCCCCCTCCCCCCCAAGCCGACACCACCGAGGCTGCCGCCGTGACAGACGGTCGATGACGTTGATCGATGATGGATGAGACGAAGCAAGCTCGGACAGAAATCACGGACCCAGATAATGAAAGTCGTATGGCCTGGTACCACTGCTCCTTTATTTTATTTTTTCAGGTAAGGCTCACTGAGCTAATATAGTGTTTTCTTAGAAGCGACCCGGCCACAAATGATGGCTCAAGGACGTGGCTTGTCACGTGTAAAATCAGAGCAAATACTCTTAAGCGCACGTTTCTAAATGTGGAAGGGGAAACCCCCAGAGGGCCCCGGGATAAGAAAAAAAATCCACGACACCACGTCGAACGCGCAAACCCATTGTCAACTCTCACGTTCTTGCGATGCTACAATCCTATTTTTAGCTCCCCAGCTTAAATATAATTAATCGCTCCATCTCCACAGCGGGCGTCCTCTCGCGCGTAATCCCTCCTTTTGGCCGTCACGGTCTCGTTAGTGTTCACCACCGGCTATCCACCTTGGTTGCGCCGCTACGCATGGCATGTGACCTGCGTGCATCGCGTGGCTTTGCGGTACACGCGTTCGGCATCTCGCTATGCTGCTGCTGCTGTATCAATGTTATTCTTTTGAGCTAAAACAGAAGAGGAAGTGTGTGGTTGTTGCCAGACATTGTAAGTTACCCGCCCCAGTCTGTAATTTATTCGCAATGCCAAAACAAAAACCTCTACACCGCGTGCTGGGCCAGAGAGCATTGCCTTCCCATGGGACGCGCAGGTTGGCCAAGCTGACCTTCCTCCTTCGCATCTCCTTTTTACATTCCATGAATATCGGTTTTCATCCCGCCGCGGTGGCGAAGTTAACGCCCTCGCTGGGTTTGCAGAAGGTCCGTGGGTTCGATCCCGATCCCCGACGCCTGCGTGGTTTTGGAGTTTGCCTGGCGCTCTCTCTCTCTCTCTCCGTGGTCGTGTAGATTTTTCTCCCGGGTCCCTCCGATTTTTCTCTCCCCACATTTTAGAATCGACATGCGTTGAGAGTTATTTGGCTGCTATACATTTCCACGTGATGAGCTACTTCTTTGAGCTATCATTTGTGGCCACGTCACTTTTGAAAATGAGCTATATAGCTCAGTGGGCCTTACCTGGTAAAATAAACATAGGATAGATACTTGGTTAAACTTTAATTTCATCAGGAGATGAAAAAACATGACACCTAAATGTGCTGGGATCAATAACCAAAGTTGGGTTTGAAACCCATATATGTAAACACAGCATTATTAACTCAATTTTAATAATAACCAAACAAGTTACAAACTAATGTGAAATTTCAATTCGAAACTGGATTCTTTATTTAGGCAATCTGAATGCGATTGCTTATTTAAAAAATTGCTTTCACTTTTTCTGACGTCCTCGTCGCGGGTAAGAAGTTGAACCCTCGGGGTCAGAAGGGCCACAGAATGTGGGTGCCACGGAACAAACTGAGATCCCTTCAGGTGACGTCTGATCCACGCCAATCCACTGGTGGATGAAGCCCCCCCCCCCCCCCCCCCCATATAATTTCAGTCACGGGGGAGTTGTTTAACCACTTCACCCACACTCGTCAATGTGGTTTGGTGAAGGTGTTATCCATGATTTGAAGCTTTCGTGACTGCAAGGATTCATATTCTTAGGTTTTTTCGGTAAAGTCATGTCGGGCTGTGACGGTTCCACCTGAAAACGGAAGCTTGTGTTGCCTCCGGAAACGTCGTGATTTTTATTTTTATTTTACTTTTAATTTTAATTTTTTACCTACGTGACTTTACCGAAAAAACCTAAGAATGTGTTATCCATGGTCGGAGAAATTAAGTGTACGCGTCTGCGGGTTATTATTGCAGAGCGCACTCCACAATGTAAATAAGACCCTACTTATTGATTTGCTATGAACAATTGTTTGGCACGTTCTGACCCTTTTAATCGGGGCAGGTGCAGGAGTTCCCACGAGACGCCTTTGTGCAAACGAACGACTCGTGTGCAGAAGTCTTCTCGGTCACAGGTGACTCGCATGTGAGTGGATGATGCAAGTTCTCAGGGTGTTCTAGGGAGGCTAGAATGATCAAATATTGGAATAAACGTGTGTTTATCTTCTTGGTTCTTTCGGTAAAGTCACGTAGAAAGGAAATAATAAAATAATAAAAATAAAACATAATAAAATTATTCTCACGACATTTCGGCCACAACGCAAGCAGCCGTCCTCAGGTGAAGAACAGATTTGTCGGAAAGACAGCGTCTGAGTCTTTCCGACAGACCTGTTTATCACCTGAGGACGGCTGCTTGCGTAGTGGCCGAAACGTCGTGAGAATAATTGTATTATGTTTTATTTTTATTATTTCATTATTTCCCTTCTACGTGACTTTACCGAAAGAACCAAGAAGATGAATCCCTGGAGTCACGAAAGCTTTAAATCGAAATGTGTGTTTTGTATGAACGTCTTTCGCGCACCGTACGTAGCCAACCGCGCTAATCGGATGTGGGTGGAGGAGGAGGTCAAAAAACTAAACGCAAACAAAAACATAGTCGAGTCTATACTTATAACTTCTACCATCTGAAACAAAATATGTGTGTTTTGCAAAGAATGATGGCCTGTCTGTTGTTGTATTTAAGCGCTATTGTTCATGCTGTTTTCAGGAAATTCAGTTTTGTAATTCGTGTTTACAAAAAAAATTCATTGTTTTTCTTCTAGTTTGGACATTCCCACCCTGCCCGTGTCCTGTAACTACCGCCACTGCCGACGGTCTCGGCTCTGGTCGTCCTTGTGACTGAGCTGGGTCTCCCCAGCTGAAATAAAGTCCGAGCGTTATAGATTTCACTCATTGGGTAAGGTCTGTGCCGTGGTGGCGAGATGTTAACTACCTTGCCTGGTATGCAGGAGAAAGTGGATTCGATCCGGACCCTGATGTTTGTATATTTAGAGTTTGTACGCCTCGCTCCCCGTGGTAGCGTGGATTTTTCTCCGGGTCCTGCGGGGTTCCCTCCATTTTAAAATCAACGTGCGTTTAGATAATTTGGCTGCTATCATTTTCCACGTGACAAGCCACTTTGTTGTGAAATCACTTGTGGCCAGTCGCGTCTGAAAAAGCGCTATATAGCTCGGTGGGCTTTACCGGATCAAATAAAAAAATAGTTTATCTCAAAAAGCATGTTTATACTTTTACATTTTATGCTAAGTCCCGTGCTAACATATACATCATCAGTGAACCAAGGAATTGGGCTACCATTGAGTGTGATGGTCAAATCAGTGGAGTCGCCGATTTTTTTTCTTCCTAGACGTATAGATGAGGCATCCTTCCATGACCCTGATATGTTTTCATTGCTGTGTAAACTTTTAGTTGATAGTTCCCTTGTTGACCCAACACCTAAATCCTGCTTCTGTGATGTCCGCAGTTGCTCCACCTGCCCCTTAACGTTGCTGCCAAGGTGAGTGCTTCCTCTCCAGGTGCAATATTTGAGTCCTCGTCACCAAAAAAGATTCCGTAATTTGTTTCCTGCGGTATTAGATTTTTTTAATGGAGATCTGCGTAGAATTCCACTTTTTTATTGATTCTGTTTCTATCGTGCGCTACGGTTCAACCTTGCTCTCAAAGGTGATTTCGCCAATCGTCAGCTTCACTTTTTTACCACGTTCACACTCCTGTTACATGTTCTCGGATTTCTTTCGTTTTTACAGAATCTGTGTGGAAAGATGTTGACATTTTTCATCTAATGCTCATCTATCTAACCTGCGTGTAATGTACTTTCAGAAAACGTATCCTCAGTTTGTCCTACCTGTCAGTTCAGTTCATTTATTAGGTATAGCCCTGTGAGCCATTCTGCTCTTGAATCAGGTGCAACCGCAACAACCAAAAACATGAACTCGAAACATCTTAGAGTGAC